GAACACCTTCCCTCCTATTCCCATATCGAAAGAATACTTTGAACAACTCGTTCACTCTGTTTCAATTCATTCTTCTTCATTTTTCAATTTGAAGTACGTATTCGATTTTTTATTATTCGATAATTTATCGATTGTATCGATATCGATTTATGACTAGTCGATATATATCGCATGTATCAAATATCGAAAAAAAGTTATCGACGCTCAACTTTAGTATATCTATGTATCTATACACGAATGACATCACTTAATGTTTGTGTTGTGTGAACATCACAAATGTTCAAAATGTACTCAATGAGTACACGCGGTCGCGAGTGTGTTAATACGTTATTGATCAGGCACGTGACAAACGTGCAACACGCGTTGGGATAGAAAGAAAAGGTTGAGAGTGATGAGAGTGGCGCGTCTGTGAGCAGGGACGCAGATGAAGGCTGTGGTCATTCATAAGCATCCGTGTATGGAAAAGAATCTTAGTGTTCCTCTCCCCTTATTGTGAATTATTGCTTTGTTGTTCTAAACTTTAGTTTATTGTTAGCTTTGATAATCTCTTCCAAACGTTGATTTTTTTCACGGAAACCGCGTTTGAGGTTTTCTTTCTGAAATAAACGAGTTGTTTCCACGACTTAAACCTCTCAACATTTCCATAACGTTAATATCAATATTGGTTGATGAATTGATATTCTCTCCATAGGCAAAACGTTTAGCATTCTATTGATAATACTCTAACATTTCGTCGAATATATATTCTTACATCAAAGCCTATAGCATTGGAAATGTTCTGAATCATATGTTTTATTTCCACTTTCTGATCTTCCAAGTCACTTTCAGTCTGGTGCTTGAGGGAAGCAAACTGTTTGCGAACTTTTTGTAAGTCAGTCCACAGATCCATCATTTTCTGCTGTTCATCACTTAGATACTGAGTCAAGTTCTAAGATGACACAGATATAGTTTGGGGATCTCTGACTTGTCATGTACCTTGTTCTTATGGATATAGCTTTGTTCCTTATCACGGAACTCTTGTTCAAAGCGATCAAACTCGGATCGAAGTCTTTCATTCTCACTAATAGGAATGTTGTCAGCATCGTTCATGCTAGGGATATGTATTTAAAACTTTAAACTTTAACTTAAAAAAATTAAAATTCTTTTACTCTTATTCTTTACTTTTGCTAGAGCACGCACAGTATTGCCAGTTAGAAGAGATTTCAGTTAACAATCAATGGCGGATGTTTACCAAGAAGTAGTGGACAAATTATGTCGAATCTATGCAGATGATAGTGAAAAATGTGCAGAAATAATGAACATTCTTGCAATTGACGATGCGATTTGTGGTGGCCGTGTCAATTCTGGAATGTGGAAGATGCTGAAAAGCCTCGTCGCCTTTGATGAAGTAAGTTTTTAGGTTTTGTTCGAATCATATATGGGAAATTAGCAGTGTTAATTCGATTAAGGCCAACTTTACTGTTTGCTTTTTCAGCCATTCAAGCGCTATTCCGAAAAACTTGTTCTATCAGTTGATAAAATGCCTTCTAGACCTGTAACCCCGATGTCCCGAGTTTCAAGTGAACGTTCAACTAGCCCGTATCATCCTGAATGTAAGATTCAACTCGAATTCTTATGGAAAACTTAAAATCTCTTTTTAGTACCACATGACCCTGCCCCTTCGGCAAAATGTTTCAAGAAATGGATGTTTTATTTGAACGAGCAGACAAAATCGACAACTATATGTGTTCATCCGAAATTCTTTGTCACGTTCCGACACGGGACACATAGTCACTTCAACATTGGCGATAGTTTGAAAATATATCCGTGAGTTCTTGATCAATTGCTTAAGTTTTGTTGTTTATTTATAGTGTCGAAGAAGAGAACGGATCAGGATTCGGAGTTGATGTACGCGTAGCCAATATCTACGAAGCTTATGATTTCATCTTACTTAAAAGCGAGTTCAATGTCGTTGATGTGAGTTCTCAAAATATTTCTTTTATTTTGTTGTTAATTTACACATTTCAGCGAGGACCCACAATCGCACGAGCTCAAGAATCAGAACCATTTACATTAGTCGGATTCGGAAACGACATAGGATGTCTGTCGTATTTGCCAGGGTCGATCCATTCCAATCGTGGTCATTATTTCCAAGGAGAGGTGCAATTAATGGGACCTTTTATTCTGGGAACAAGTCGAAGGTCGTGTGGTGACTTCAAAAAGTGGAAAAATAACTCTCCTTTTTCAAAATATGAGTATAATATGAGTAAGTTATGAATATAATAACTAATTAAAAATTTGATTGAAGATTTCTTTAATGTTGTTTAGTTTTCACACCAAAGGTTGGTCCGAGAATGATCTTACGGTAAAAGAAGTGCGACATGCGTTTGAACACTTGAAGAAGCTTGAACGAGTAACTGATACAACAATTGTACCCAAATCGTTGTCGAACCCGTGGAGCTACCGGACGTTCACAAAATTGACTCGACTTATTAGAAAGAATGTGGATACCCAATTGGCTAACGAAATTTCTTCAGGATTTACCCAAGCTTACATGAAAGACATACATAATAACTGATTATTGCAATGTTTCTTTTTTCAGCTTTCATACGAAAAAGTTATCGACGCTCAACTTTAGTATATCTATGTATGACAAAAGTTGTTAGATCCCGCATGATCAATTAGGTCTTTGTCAACCTTTGCAAGCTTCAACTCTATTCAATGTGGGATGAGTAAAATACGAATTCTGAGAGAGAGCCATTTATTACCGAAAGTTACATACTATAACATACATAAAGATAGACAGGAATAATATTAATCTTACAT